ATAGTTTTTTAAACATTTATTTGCAATTGTCAGATGTTTTTAATGGATTTTCGAGTAAATTCGAGTAAAGTTTTTAAAAAAAACAGGTTTGTGATAATATTAAAAAAAAAAATCAAGAGCTTGCAGGAGTAAATAATCTTAAATCGTACTCTAATCGATTCACTAAAATAAATTACAGTAATTCGAATTTAATGTAAAAAGTCACTTAAAAAAAGTTACTCAAAAACTCGATAAGTCTTATTCGGTTAAATTTGTTCAAAACAAATCTTACAAAAAAAAAAAGAACAGTCATTAATTCAAGCGTTCATGACTTGGTTTCATTACCAGGTTTCTACTGATGTAATTGACACGTTTCCACTAATACACAAAAGAGCTCAATAAGTGCAAGAAACAAAAATAAGTTTTACAATCTGTAATCATCTGCCAGTAGCGCAATCAGGGGGGTTTCCATGGTACCCGGAAACTCCTTTTTAAATTGTTGAAAAAATTAAGTTTTCTTGTTACTGCTTTATACACTACTAATCATTATTAAGTGTGTTATGTTAAGTTCGACAGGAAGAAAAAGTGTTGGAATTTGAAATGAATATGAAAATGACTTTATGCCAAAAAAGTAAATATATAATATATAAATATGCACGCTTTGAGTTTCATAAAGTAAAAATCAAGAATTCATAAAATTAAAAGCCCTTTTCAGAAATCCTAATTGCGCTGCTGTCGGCATTTTCATTTAGAAAAATTTGAAACTGTATCAAATTGAGAACATAAACAAAAAAGTACATTTTTTAAAAAGAATAAGTAAAAATAAAATATTTTAAATACACTTTTTTTAAAGACCTATTAATATACATTTTCAGCACTTTAAAATTATGACGTTTCGAATTTTAAAAGAAAATTTAAAACGAAGATTTGCATTTTGTACAAAGTACTATGAAAAAACATGAAAAATAACTTGTTATTTTTTATATATATTAGAAATATATATGCTACGAATCTTAATTTTTCATAGAAAAAGATTCCAAAATGAAATGATGGATTGCGTTCAATAGACCGTAAAGCGTTTTTCTAGGAAAGGGGGTAATCTTTAAATGATTTGAACATTTTTTTTCCCAATGCGTCAGTCACATTTAGTTATTTAAATTTTATTTTCCGCATGCTGTGCGCATGTCGAACCACGTCGAATTTTATGATTCATTACAGATGTTATAATTTTCGGATTATATTATTTCAATTATAATCTTTTCGGGGAATGAACGTTTGCACTTTCATTAACAACAAAGTAAGCTTTGTAAGTTAAGAGCATTGATAAAAGAATTTCCTTTATTTACAACTATCACTTCTAGTTTTAAGAGATAATTTGCAGTCACTTAAGTTTATTTGTAGCTGAATTTATAACAGACTTATAAACTTCTTTTTGTTGTACTTTGTAACATTCTCTTTGTTAAGATTTTTGTACTTTGTGACAAGGATTACCATAAACTTGAATTTACAAATTGTATCAGCAAGAACCATTGCGTCCGTTAGGGAAGTTTAACCAAATGATATATCTAGTCTTGGGTATCATTAATTTACATTAAAACATTATAAATTAAACCAAGCTGATGATGAACGGCCGTAGAGTAGAGATCCAGGGTTTAGAGCGAGCACTGGGCATACTTTTTAGCATCGCACAGTTGAGCAGAAATGCTTCATAACTGGAGATTTGACAAAAATGAAAAAAGACGTTATGAATCAATTTTATAATGTATAAAAGAATCTCTTGACCTCGCGGTTTTTTTAGTGTAGGAATGACTTTAACCTTGTAGAACCCATAATCTAGCGCAATTCTTTTGTTTAAAAAATAACTCGCTCGTGCGAGTAATTAGTACTACTTTGTTTTTATAGTGTTAAAGCTGAAGTTTGTTAGAAATTCCAAACTTTTTTCAGGGATTCTTCAGTTTTAGGTTTACCGCTATTTTTTGGTAATAAAATAATAATTTTAAGGTGCTGAAAATATACATTAACAGGTCTTTAAAAATGTGCATTAAAATATTTTATTTTTATTTATTCTTTTGAAAAATTTTGCTTTTTGTTTATGTCGTCACTTAGATACAATTTCAAATTTTTTTATGAAATTGCTGATGATTACAGATTGTAAAACTTATTTTTGATTCTTGCACTTCTTGAGCTCTTTTGTGTGAATTAGTGAAAGTGTGTCAATTGTATCAGTAGAAACCTGGTAACGAAACCAGGTCATGAACGCCTGAACTAATGACGTTCTTTTTTTTTTGTTGGATTTATTTTGAGCAAATTAAAGCTAATAAAACGAGTAAATATAATATCGAGTTTTTGAGTAACTTTTTTTGAGTGGCTTTTTACATTAAATTCGAATTACTTTAATTTATTTTAATTAATAGAATAGAATACGTTTTAATATTATTTGTTTATGCAAGCTTTTGATTTTTTTTCTTTTTTATATTATCACTAACCTGTTTTGTAAAAACCTTTATTAGAAACTACTTGTAAATCCATTAAAAACGTCTGACAATTGTAAATAAATATTTAAAAAACTATGGAGTAACTTTTCCTAAGTCTAACAAGTGCCCTTAAAATAGTTATTAAACTTACAAAATCCAAAACAAAAAAAATTATTTTTTGTCCAGTTTTAAACCTATTCTGCCCCACTGTGAGTCAGCAGAGTTCATGATTGATGTCTTTATTTATAACACGAATAAAAGCTATTGGGCTAAAAATAAATTTTTGTAATAAATGTTTTTAGTTTGGGTATTTAAACAACTACAATTCGTTATTATGAATTAAATTTGATCTGTTTTTACATTAGACTGATTTAAAATTATAAGAAAAAGCAAATGATAGGAATCAACAAATAAGATCTTAGTATTGGCCCAAGTTGTAAATGGTATAATGAAGCAGAAGAAAGCTCCTAATAATTATTGTACAAAACAGAACACTTAACATAAATGATTAAAACAATATAAAAAGAATTAATTATCGAAGAACAAGCAAAGGTTTAAAGATAAGTATACTGTTTTACAATTATTTAATTAAGATAAAGAGGAAATGTTAAAAAAACTACCTTATAAAAAGCTCTAAAATAAATTATATATTGACATATAAACAAACATAGGAATATGCATTTTATTATGCTATGAAACTTAGCAATTGTACTTTAAATGGATAGAAAATAAACAGGTAGTTATAGCATGGTTAAAGGGTTTTATGAAACGTCACAGAGAACTTTCACTTTATATTGTGCTAATTCAAACTTATTTTAAATGAAACGAATGTTTCAAACTTGTTTTAAATTAAATGAATGTTTCAAACTTGTTTTAGATAAAATGAATGTTTTAAACTTGTTTTAAATGAAATAAATATTTTAAACTTGTTTTAAATGAAATAAATATTTTAAACTTGTTTAAAACAAGTTTGAATCAGCACAATATAAATCAATTTTTTGAAAATTATGAAAAGAGTTTAAAAAAACTTAACTTTACTTCTAAATGAATTTTAATACTGATGTAACCGACATAATGACAATACTAAAATCACCCAATGTTATAGTACTAGAGAATCCAAACACGGATATTGGAATTTTCGGAATTTCGATATTTATTAAATTTGAAATTCCGGAATCAAGACAAACCAAATTCCGGATTTTGGGATTTTTATATTGTTCGTTTTTTCGTTTCCAATAAAACATTTTCATCAACGAAATTCCTGCAAGTGGTATAAACATAATTAAGAAAAGCTATTAGTAAAAATTCAAGCAGTGTGCCATGTAATATAATTCTTTAAAAAATATATTTTTTTTTATAACAGGAAACAACAAAAACAAAAAAAATTACGAACTTGAATTTGTCTCTTAATTTTCTAATTTGAATTTTTTTACTTTTTTGCATAAAAGCAAAAATAAAATAAAAAAGCATGAGAAGAGTAAGCATTAGAATTTCAAAACAAAAACAAATAAAAAAAAGTTGTAAAATTGTGAACAAACAGAAGTGTTGCGGGAGTTGAAAATCTAGATGGAGAAGCAAGTTGTTCATGTTAAATCTTTTAAATGTTTTAAAATCTTCATTAAAGAAAGCACTAATTAATATAAAAGGAAACATAATTTTATATTAAATTGAATGATATGCCGTATAACTGATATTGAAAAATTTGATGCCAGTAAAATTAGCTGTAGACTTAATGAAATCTGAACTTGAACCTAATGAAATCTGAACTTGAACCTAATGAAATCTGAACTTGAACCTAATGAAATCTGAACTTGAACCTAATGAAATCTGAACTTGAACCTAATGAAAGTTTCATTAGGTTCAAGTCTACATTTAAAAGATTTAACATGAACAACATGCTTCTCCATCTAGATTAGGAACTTTATCAAACGTCTCTTGACGTTAAATTTTAACGTTAAGAGAAATTAATTGCTGTAATAATTTCTCCAGTTTAGTTTCACTTTCATTGAAAGTGAAACTAAACTTTCATTTCACTTTCATTGAAAGTGAAACTAAACTAGAGAAATTATTTTAAATTATTTTAATTAACGAAAAAATTTATCTGCGTATACTAAAAATCTGCGCATACTAAAAATCTTTTTTAAAAATCAGAATTAAAAAAGTGTTTTTATATATTATTTTATTTTTCTCATTGAATTTTTTTTGTTTATTTTTTTTTTCATTAAATTTGTTTGTTTTTTTGTTTTGTTTTGTTACTTTTATTGAATTTGTTTTGTTTTACTAAAATACTTAAATAAAAATTGAACTTTATTTAATTTGAAATTCTTTCAGACTTTTATTTTCTTTCAAACTTTTTTTTCTTTCAAATTTTTATTTTTTCTTTCAAATTTTTTTATTGAAATTCTGGAATTATATTGGAATTCCGAATCTCATTTTATGTAACTCTGAAAACTCCGGAATTCATTTTTCAATAAAAATAGGATTTTCTTCATAGTACCATGTGGAACAAAACAAGTGTGTATCTGTTAAATGTAGGCAACAAATTGCATGTCAGGTATAGAAAATACCATAGGAATATTCATTCCTCCTGTGTTTATAAATCCAAGAGCAAGGTTTCATAACACCATGATTAGAGGAGGACCACCTGGTTGTATAGGTTATGCAAACAGTCCAACAAGTGTTTGGATGATAGGGTTTTTTTTATTTTAGAGCAATAGAAAAACCAAAATATTTGAAAGATTATCCAGTTTTACTCTTAATGGACATTAATCGCTATTAATTATTGTTGTGAAGATTAAAATACAAATTGTTGGTGAGCTTCAGCGTGACTGCTAAAAAAACAGGTTTTAAACGGAAATGCTTGGTATCTAAGCGAACAGGTTCTTATACTGAGCACAAGGCTGTAAGTTTTTAAGGTGGTCAAAAAGAAAAAAAAAAAAGTTGTACAAAATTTTAATGAGATTATGAGAGATGATGAGATAATTATTTGCTGATTTAGCTCAATACAAATAACAACCTGGATTACAGGACATTTAGCTATTTCAATGAAATAAAAACAAATAGAAATAAAATATATAAAAACAAAAATAAATAGAAAACAAAGTAGTTTAAGTAAAAAAGATTTATAATTTCTAAAATTAAAAAAAAAAAAAAAATCATATACTACGCACGATCGTTCCATATAAGACCAGAAAACTCAAATTAACCAACAGGTAATCTCCGCAAATCCATATTATCTCTGCAAATCCTACTGGGCGTGTATTCTAAGCTCAACTAAAGTTAAGGAAATCGTAACCTTAGTTGAGCTTAGGATTACATTTAGTAAAAGTTCTTAACTCCATACATAAAATATACACGTTTGTGCTGTGTTCTACAATAAATAACTCATTTAAAAAGTCAGATACTGCATATTTATCGTGTATATCATCACTTCTTAATGTAAGTATAAATAATTTGAGAATTTAGAATAACTTTGGCATCATAAAACAGTAAATAACGGGTTTTTTATCGATGTGATAGTCTGATAGACCCAATCAAGAAGAAATTCAAACAGTGAAAGGATATTTTCCCATTTGAATAATTCAATGTTATATAAATTTTTAACTTATTTTTATAGTTTGGAACTGAAAACGATGTCACTGACATTTCTGAAAGCTCGGGAGAGCCCCTATCAAAAATCAGAATGGTAGCTGTGAATGAAGAGAATATTTTGGTTAGTTCTACCTCTTTAAAAGAAATGATGTTAATAAACTTTTAAGCTAATAAAATAAGATTTTTTAAAATTTATTCTCAGGTGTTGTCAACAGAAGAACCCATCGCTACCATTCCTTCCAATGATCCTGCTTTGTGGGCACATCTTTCCAAAGTGAAAAGAGATTCTGTGCTTCTACAGGGGCTTCCTCGAAATCCTTCAGCTTTCCCGAAAGATTCTAATAAGAAGAAGGTTCCTGAATCAATTTTCTACGAAACTTCTCTCAACGGGGAGAAGACATGCCGAGATTGGCTGGTCTGGAGTGTATCTAAGAAATCATTTATTTGCTTTCCGTGTTCTCTATTTGGAAGCAAACAATCTTTTGGGATCGGACACCAGTCGCACCTTCTAAGATGGAATGATGGAATAAGCTGCAACTGGCACAAGCTACCTGAGAAAATCAAAAGTCATCAGAATAACGCCCAGCATTGAAACTTTTACATAGAATGGAAAACGGCGCTAGAAAGCATAGAAAATCAAAGCGGAATAGATGGAGCTCTTGAAAACTCGGTAAGAAATGAAGCAGCCAGGTGGCGTGAAATTCTACGATGCATCTTAGATGTTACTCTTTTTTTAGCGTCACGAAACCTTAGTTTCAGAGGTAAATCTATTTACCATTATTCTATTGTGATATCGACTATCTTTAAATCTATTTAGCTTATATTTATTAGATTAACTAGATATTTTGGAAATCATTAAATAAAACAAATCCTTCTTTATTCTTTTAAATAAATATGTTATAATATTCATAAATCATAATATAAAATCATCATAGAATCATCATAAAATAAAACAAATGCTTCTTTATTGTTTTAAATAAATCTGTTTTATTATTATAATTTTTAGGTTCATCAAAAATGATTGGAGATGACGACAACGGCAACTTTCTAGCTACCCTAGAGCTCTTGGCCAAGCACAACAAGACTCTCCAACTACACTTAGAAGAAGTTTCCCGCTGCCAACAAGAAGGTAACAAAATGAATGCCCATTACTTGGGCTGGAGCACTCAAAATGAATTCATCAAAGAGTGCGGAGGAATCGTTCACGGTGCCATCATCAACGAAGCTCATATGGCCATCTGCTATTCCATTCTTGTGGACGGGACTCCGGACGTCTCTCACACCGAGCAAATCACCTTTGTTCTCCGCTTTGTATACTTTGGTACTGACGAAAGATGGACCGTGAAGGAGCGCTTTCTGAGGGTCGAGAATCTTGAAAAAAAAGATAGGTGCTGACATTGCCAAGCTTATTATGGACGTCTTAGAACAAAATGGAATTGATCTCAAAAACTGCAGAGGTCAAGGATATGACAATGGAGTGAACATGTCCGGTATATACAAAGGAGTACAGGCGATTATACTGCAAAAAAATCCTCAAGCTCTCTATATGCCATGCAGCGCTCATAGTCTCAACCTTGCTGGTGTTCATTCTGCTAAATCTTCGGTTGAAGTCAAGAACTACTTTGGCCGAGTCCAGTCACTTTACAATCTTTTCAGTGGAAGCCCTAGTCGGTGGAAAGTCTTGATTGAAACCACTGGTTTGTTCCTTCATCAAACGTCGCAAACCAGATGGAGTGCGCGAATCGAGGCCGTGAAGCCGTTAGTCAAGCGACCCAGGGAAATCCTCGAATCTTTGAAAAAGCTCCGCGATTTTGATCTAACAGCTGATCAATTGAATGTAAAATCTCTGGAGAAGTGGGTTCATTCATTCGAGTTCATCGTAATGACAACCTTTTGGTATAAAACTCTTTAATCAATCAACTACGTGAGCCTTGCACTCCAATCAGAAAATATCTTCTTGGACGACGAGATGAAACTCATTAAGACTCTTATTGAAGATCTAAATCGACTGAGATCATCTTGGACCAGCATCCTTAATGAGGCACGTTTGATAGCATCTGGTCTTGCTTCTTTTGGTTTTCAATCAGAATTTGTGAAGAAGAGGACGAAAAAAAGGAAGACCTTTCACGAAGAGGTGAGGAACACTGCTCATTTCCATGAAGACGAAGCAAAAGAGTTTGAGGTGAGCGTATTCAATACCGCTCTTGATACTCTTATTCAGCAGGTCAGCGATAGATTCCAAGCTGCTGAGAAGACGACGAATATGTTTTCGTTCTTGTGGTCATTGAAATCTCTTGTTATGTCAAATGAAGAAGAATCAGAAGAAAGTGTTGAAGCACCTATCCAATTGGAGGAGAAATGCAAGGTCTTGGCACAAATCTACGCGACGGATGTTGAGGAAGAGAAACTTATTGAAGAGGTCCGCCACCTCGATGCTCTGAAGCGATCCAATCTTTTTGGTCCAAAAGAATCTCTCACTTCCATGACGTTATCGAATGGAATATACCAGAAAGGTCTTCAGCCGCTCTTCGAATCAGTCTGCATTTTGCTGCGCATCTTCAACACCATCCCTGTTTCTGTTGCGGAAGGCGAGAGATCTTTTAGTAAGCTTGCTCTAGTTAAGACAGCTTTAAGGTCTACAATGAGCCAAGAACGACTCACGAATCTTCTGGTTATTTCCATTGAGCAAGATCTTGCCAAAAAGTTGTGCTACGGTGAAGTGATTTCCAAATTCGCTATGAGTAAAGCACGAAAGATCAATTTCCTCTGAAGTTGAAACAACAATAGCTGTTGTATTCTAGACAAATTTTTGCTCTTAACATCCAATAGTGTTTAATGATTGTCTTTGGTCTGTTTCTACCATGTTCTAGTGTCGACTTTATCATTTTATGTATGAGTGTATAACCAAGTCAAAAGGCCATTGCAATTATCTAGAAATAAACTGTTCAAATGTTCATTAATTAAAATTAAAAAATTCTATATTCTTTTATCCTCTTTGATTTGTTATCAAATGGCTTATTATATGTATTGAATTATGGATCATTAGATCAGCTTTCACTTTCATCAGGGCGCTTGGGAAATTTTGACCCTGGGCGCCGCAAAGGCTCACGGCGGGCCTGCTAACAAAGGAAACTAATTTAAATTGTTTTTTTACTGATTTTATAAATTTTTGAAAAAAAAAAGTTAATAAATACTTTCATGATTTGCGCACAGGATGAAAACATTGAAAAAGGAAACCAGGTGTTTAAACAAATTTTTACAGCGAACGAAATAGTAACTTTGATGTTTGAACTAGTGAAATTTTTAATCGTTCAAACAGTGACGGATCTAGGGAGGAAGGGATATGCTCCCCCCCCCTCCTCCTTACCAGAATATGAAAGTCCTAAAATATCTTAGAAACTTAAGATCTTTTTTTTTAATTTTAGGAGACGCAAAGGTGGTACAAAACACAAAAATATTTCAATACACACCCCCTCCCCCCTCCTCCACCACCATCACCAAAATTCCTATATCCGTCACTGCGTTCAAATATCAAAAAAATATTTCATACGTACAGAGATTCGTTCGGTCTATATAGATATTGTATACTATACAAAAAATTAACTGAAAGTATTTTATAATTTAAAATTTAATTTCAAAAAAGCGTAGAGGTTTTATAAATACTGATCCATGAAATCCGTACTTGAAAACAAAACAAAAAAAGAATAAAATAATTGTGCAGTCGTGGCGGAGTGGTGAGAACGCTTGCTTTAGAAGCAGGAGATTGAGGTTCAAAACAAGCTCTGGACATATTTTCGCGTCAAAATAATTAAACTAAAGCTTATCTGTTTCAAACAATCTTTAGATTGTTTGAATTATACACTATAAAGATAAGTTTTTAAAAAATTGCCTTTTGTTATCTAACTGTAAAATAAATTTATTGGTATTCAAGTCTCTGCGATAGATCAAAAAATGCATCCTTTAAAGTTTATTTGTTTAAGTCATTGTTATATATCGATATTCCCATATTGATGTAATGATATCTCCGTATCAGACATCCGATATCGATAAATAACGATATTCCAATATTGATATCCCCATTCTTAAAAAATAATGGTACTATTATACTTTAATACATTAAAAAACATTTTTAAAAACTTTTTTATCATTTTTAAAACATTTATCATATAGTTTCTTGCAAGTACTTTATAGTTATGTTACATCAATTTGGTACGTAGAATCAACAACATTTATTAAAATAAGAGGTTGCCGAATTTCAAATTCATATAAAGTTTAAACGGTCAGTTGCTGTCAAATTTATCGCAGTTTTTGGACATTTTGCAAAACTTGAGAAAACACGGGCAATATCTTGTATATCTTTTATTGATCACTACAAAAAGAAAATATATACATTTGTTATAACGGTTGTTAAGTGCATATAAAAATGTATATACAGTTGTTACAATTAAGTGTATTTGATATAAAAATTTATATATATATATATATTCGTTATAATGTCAAAAACATTAATTTTACTACTTCCTTATTTTAGCGTTGTCTATATTTTAATTACAAATTTGTATTTATAATATTTTTAAACAGGACATTTACAATACAGTTAAAGTTTCGAAATAAAAACTCTCTAAATCACTCTCCCTGAAAGTCTCCACATAAAAAAAAAAAAAAAAAAAAAGTTTTCACTTTTTCTTTAGATACATCACCAAAACAATAAAATATCCAAACCACAACTTTTATAAAATTATTACACAAAAACTTTCACTCAACTTTTTTTTATCCTAAATAAAAGATTTCATTCACAGTAGAAAGAGAGAGAGAGAAAAATATATATATAAGATTTCTAACTAATTTCATGCACAGTAAAGAGAGAGAGAGAGAAAAAAAAAGATTTCTAACTAATTTCATTCACAGTAGAGAGAGAAAAAAATATAAGATTTCTAACTAATTTCATGCACAGTTGAGAGAGAGAGAAAAAATATATAAGATTTCTAACTAATTCCATCTACAGTAGAGAGAGAGAGAGAAAAAATATATAAATATATTACTAACTAATTTCATCCACAGTAGAGAGAGAGGGAAAAAAATAAGATTTCTAACTAATTTCATCCACAGTAGAGAAAGAGAGAAAAAAAATATATAAGATTTCTAACTAATTTCATCCACAGTAGAGAGAGAGAAAGAAAAAAAAATTATTATATAAGTTAACAAATATTATGTAAGTAAGTTGTAAGCAATAAATAAAATAAATGTAATAAGCATTGCAAATAAAAGGTAAAGAATTAGAAAAATTTGTATACAAATTTTTCTTCATTTTTTTTTGAAGAGCATATTTTCAAAATGTGGCACAGTGTGCCAGAGGTGAGCAAACCCCTCAAAACCAGCTTCTATACGGATGTTTTTAATCAAGGAACCCCAGCACTCTAAAACTGATAAAACTTCTTCCCTACTATGATTTTTGAGTTCAGTATAATAATTTTACCACGAAAATGGCAATATTTTATCTTTCAAATATTGGTCAAAAATGTAAAAAACCATATAAAAATTAAATATGAGGCCAGTAAAACAATTTTACAACATTTTCATTTCTTAACGGTTTATATTAGTTCATTGACATCATATATTGAAATAAGAAGAAGAAAAATGAAAATTTAATTTTTATGCTTGTTTATTTTCAAAGTGTTTTTCAATAAAACCCCTTAAAATGCGCAACATTTTTTTACACACTCTTTTTTTTTTAATTTTAATTTACCTCCTCAAGGTCAAGAAAGCCACTACAGAGAAGGAGGCTACTTAATTGTGGGTATAGCCCTCTCTCAACTCTTTAACTTCGAAACACGAACCATGACGAACAAGGCCACTGCGTGAAGAAGCAAGTTGAGCTTAATTGAAACTTATCTTTACAAAAAGCAGAAAAACACTTGGCCGCAGGCTTGTAGCCACTAGGACGGCAGCAAGGGCATTTGCTCCCCCAATAATTTTTCAAATAAATAATTTTGAAAAAATTGACTGATAAAATGACAAATAAAAAAAAGTCCTCAAAACTATTTCGGGGCCCCTTAATCCAGCACTGCCCCCTCCCCCCCCCCCAATAAAAATTTCATTCCTACGGGACTAGGCCGCACATGTGACCTACTTTGAATTACACTCTCATATATGGATAAAAATTTGCTACCAAATTTTCTGAGCTCAGCTAAGCTTAGTAGGTGCTAGGCTTTTTATTATAAATGATATCCAATTTAAGATTTTTAGTCGGTAAATTTAGACAGTCGGTAAATGTCGTTATGACAGTCGGAGGGCAGTTGGAGGACAGTCGGCAAATTTTAAAAAGCCTTTTTTTAGTCGGCAAAGGTTGCTGACAAAAAAAAAAGGTATGGGCTTGGGTAAGTTGCCACTTTATGACAATTAGCCGGAGGAGGATAAACCACAGTTTTTTTTATGTAAAAAGAAGGGTTTAGTTTTTTTAAAGAAAAATTAGTTTGTTTATGAGAAAAAAGGATTTATAATTTCTTTTAGTTTTGAAAGCAAGAAAACTGCATTATCTAGCACTTTTAGTTTGTCTGCATTATCTAGCACTTTTATTTGTCGTCTAAATAACTTTTCTAAAATGTTTTCATCCAGAAAATTGTACGAAAATTGTATGAATCAAATATGTTTTGTTCATTTAAATAACACCAAAAAAATGGAAAACAGTAAATTATTTGTGAAAAATAGTCATACACCCTAACATCCTAATGTTTTACACTAAAATAAGAAAGAGCACTACACAATGAAATTCTCCAGCCCTCAAACAAACTATGATTTTATGGTGAAAATGCATTGCAGCTACAATACTAAGGTGTCTTGAATGAAAAGGAGTCAGGGAAAAGATCAAAGACTTCAATCAACCTGAAAAGGTCAAAGGGGTTTTGATGTAAACAAGGATCTGGAACAAGGAACCCTAACCCTGACCCTGAAACTCTTGATAGTAAACAAGGAGTGTTCCAGAAGAATCAATACTTGCACCTTTGCTGTTTTTAATTTATATAAATTATATTTATTTATTCTCAAAAATAATTATATTACTTTTGCGGACAATGATATTTTATTTTCAGACTCAAATTTAAAAAATATTTTTCATTATCTAAATACAGAACTAATATACCTTAATAAGTGGTTTATAGCAAATAAACTTTCATTGAATACTGATAAAACGAAATATATTTTGTATGCTAAACCATCAAAAAACCATCTGAAAACCTTCGACTTAAACTACCATAAATAATAAATAACAATAAAAAATATTAAAATAAAAAGAGTCTTTTTAATAAAAATATTTAGAATAGTTTTCGATGAACGTTTAAATTAGAAAAACCAAAAAAAGTTAGTTGTGAATAAAGTTTCAAAGACTCTGGGGATTATGTACGATACAAACATCTTCTGAATAAAATATGTAATAAATTTATACTATTCATATATACGAAGTCATATTAACTGTTGTAATATTGCCTGGGCAAACAATCATTCATCTTTCCTTTAAAAATATTTATACTAAACAAAAGTAAGCTAGTCAATTTGTTTTGGGCCAGATAGATATGAAAATGCCGAGCCGCTACTCAAGGAAATAAATGCCCTAAACGCATACAAACTAAATATATACCATCACTTGTTATTTATGTTAAAACTTCAAAATAAAATAATTCCAAAATATTTTTATAACAATTTCTCTCTGATTATTCAAAAGTATGAAACAAGACACTCAATAAGTAATCACTACATTTCACTAACATCGCTAAA